ATATAGAAGCTAGAATTAGCTTATAAACTTACAGGAAAATATGTTGGATGATATGCAACTGAATTAAATATTGTAGACTCAAAGGAGAAATTCCACTGGGTGCCAGTGGCTCAGGCCTGTCATCCTAGCTACTCAGGAGGCTGAGATCTGAGGATCACAGTTCAAAGCCATCCAGGGCAGGAAAGTCTGTGAAACTCTTATCCCTAATAAACCAGTCAGAAAGCTGGAAGTGGCACTGTGGCTCAAGTGGTAGAGAGCTAGCCTTGAGCTGAAGAGCTGAGGGACAGCGCCCAGGCCCAGAGTTCAAGTCCCATGACCAACAACAACAAAAAAATGAATAATTCCTTAGAAAGGTAAAAACAAAGTTCAAAAAGATAAACACCAGAAAATGGGTACTTGAAGTGGGTGGGGTAGGGTCAAGGGGAAAGGAGGGTAGACTAATGAAGAGAAGAAGGAGGGTGGAGAATGCAATCAAGAATGGGGCCCACATTTCAGCCATCGCTGTATCTGCTTCTGGCTCTCTGGCTGATGCGTCTATACTGGGTCATGAGCTGGCTTTGCCTGTGTTGCTGGTGGGGCAGGCGGCAGTTGTGATTCCTGTGGGTGTGGCAAGCTGACGCACACTTCCTTCTTCCTCCAGATGAATAGCCCAGGCACAAAGGGCCAGGCAGCTGTGTGTGCAGACACTGGCTTGAAAGCAGATGGCCTTTGTTCAGGGCTCTGCTTGCTCATCTTAGGGTCCAGAAGCTCACACCACACCGGTTTATCCATCTTCTTCTGCCCCCGTTGCGTTGGTTGAGCGCCTTCGCCATGGTTTCCTGGCACAGGCATGTGGCTTGTTCTCCACAGGTGTGCCACAGAAGCGGCTGTTGGCAGGGTTGTAAGTTTGGATTTGGACTCTCCCTGGGTTCAGATACTGGCTGAGGTAGTGGGTGGATGAGAGCCTGCACTTCAGGTTAGAGTCAGGATATCCAGGCCCAATGTGTAGCCAGAGGGGCAGCCAGTGCGCAGGGCATCATGGACAGGACCAGTTGACCTGGGTGCTCAGGGCCTGGTTACTTAGCCAGGTGCTAGGCTGGCAGGTGGGCGTGGGCCTCAGCAAGCACTGCTGCTGAGCAGTGAGCCGATTCTGGATCATCCGTGTGCCCAGGTAGCTGCCCAGATAACTTCCCAGGAAGTTGCCCATGAAAGCACTGTGGCCAGAGGCCTGGGCTTCCCAGAGCAGTGCTTGTGGATGGTGGGCCGAAACATGGCCTTTACTATATGCAGGTATCTGGCCAGATGTCTTCCCAGCTAGATTCCTGTGAGCCGTTGGTTGTTGGCCCACATCAACTTCCGAGGGTGGCACTTAGGGATCCAGGGTGGCGGTTCAACCTTTGGGGTAACCAGGTACCTGTCCAGGGTGATGCTTAACGTTGATGTCCACAAGAGAGAGCAACGTGATGGCTGGGCCTGAGTCTTGTGGCTGCAGGGTCAGAGCCTCCCACTGAGAAAATCTTTGTCAATGTGTATGGACGCCACCAGACATGAAGTGCACAGGACTCGAGTGACAGTTGGTATCCAGGATGCCAGCTGAGCACATGGGGTGCGGGATATGGGGACCCTCTGCCCTTCCATGCTGCTTGAAGTCAGGCTAGCACCCTCCCAACACACAAGGAACAGCAATGGGGTACAGTGGAAACCTGAGCACCCCATGCTGCAGCACAAAACATGGACCGAAGTGAACCAGTACAAACACACACACACACACACACACACACACACACACACACACACACACACACACAATAAATGCCTAAACTAAAATCTCAGGTATGATGATGGCTTATACCTGTCATCCTAATTACTCAGGAGGCTGAGATCTGAGGATCGTGGTTCAAAGCCAGACTGGGCAGGAGTATCTGTGAGACTCTTTTCTCCAATTAACCATCAGAAAACAAGAAGTGGTGCCATGGTTCCAGAGGTAGAGTGCTAGCCTTGAGCTGAAGAGCTCAGGGACAGTGCCCAGGCCCAGAGTTCAAGCCCCATGACTAATGAAAAGAAAAACAACAACAACAACAAAAAAAAAAACCTCAGGTGCACCTCCACACATACCAACAAGCCCACTTCCACACCAATATATACCAGGAGGCCCACGTGCACCAGCGGGATCACACACACCAGAAGGCACATGTGCACCATCAGGGGCACGTATACAAGAAAGCTTGCACACTCCAGCAGGCACATGGGCTCCAGGAGACACATACGCACTAGGAGGCGCATGCGCCTCTGCAAACTTGAGTCCATCGGGAAGCCGATGCCTGACAGCCAGCTCGTGCACCTCAGGAGACACACACACTCCATCAGGCCCACGCACCTGCATGGCCACAAGTACCAGCAAGACTTCTCACGCTCGTATGCCCACGTGTGCCAGCAAGCCCACTCCCACAAGCATGCCCATGCATGCCAGCATGCCAACATGCACTGGAAGGACCATGGACAACAGGAAGACAAACATATCAGCCCACGCACACCAGGAAGCCCACTGCACCAGCAGGTAGACACACACCAGCAGGCTCATGAGCACTAAGGAAGCGCATGCGCACCAAGGAAGCACATGCGCACTAGGAGATGCACAACACTGGGAGACACATCTGCACCTGCAGGCGCACACACAGCAGGAGACCCACACACCCTAGCTGACCTGCGCATCAGCACACCCACGAGCACAAACACCAGCGGGCACACTGACACCGGCATGCCCACATGCCCCAGCATGCCTGTGCACACAGCTGGCCGCCACACAGTGACACAGACACACTTTTTGAAAATTGTGATTCTAAAGGTGATGTGCAGAGGGGTTACAGTTACATAAGTCAGATAATGAGTGTTAGGTTTTTAAAAAGAGGTAGCCAAGTAAGAACTGCAGCACGCACGTGGTATTCAGGTAAGGGGTAGGTTTATTTAGTAGACCTGCTGGGACCAGGCCAGGTTGGCCCTCCACGCCGTGGGGAAAGTCCTGGGGAAGAGAGCTGGGAGATCTGGGAAAGAGAGAGAAAAGAGCTAGAAAAGAGAGGAAAGAGCTAGAAAAGAGAGCAGGTGGGAAAGAGCAAGCTAGGAAAGAGAAGAGAAGGAAAGAGCTGAGAAAGAGCTAGAAAAGAGCAGAGAGAGAGCGTTTGGGCCTGGGCTAGGCCTTACCTAGGGTGTGGGCGGAGAAAGGTGTGGCCACATCAAATTCAGATGTGACCTCAGCGGATGCAGATGTGACCTCTTCCAGGTGTGCCAGTTGCCTAGGTAGCGCAGGTACTGGGTGGAGACTTTGCTGCGAGGAGGGTGGAGTCTGCTAGCCATCCAGGAGTGGACCTTACAATGACTATATTTCTTTTGAACAATGTCACCCCCCCCCCATTTCCTCCCAATTTTTTCCCTCCCAGCCTCCCCGGGGACTCGAATAGGAAACACAACATACTATAGGCATCGAAACATCCTACCTGGCCAATACCGCTCAGCCAGCACTGACAGAGAACAAGGCCTAACCCGTCATCTCCCCTCCCTGCTGGGGGCACAGATGGGTCTCAGCCATGGGGCAATGCACGTAGGCTCGGATTGAGTGCTAAAGAGGAACACGGCCACCCTGTATCCCATACACCCGAGCACCGGCAAGGGGCAAGTCCCACAGGATGTGGCACATCATATCCCATGGAAGTGCATTCTTTGCCAGGATGCCCAGCCCTTCTTAAGGGGTTACAGCGCCGGCACTGCAGGGTGAGGCCTGGAGGGGAACCCCTGAGCGCACACCGGGGCTGGCAGCAGCTGCAGGAGATCAGGCCCAAGCAGCGTGTGCAGCTGCCCAGGCAGGGTGATTAGGTGAGCGTCGGTGTGCTGTCCTGTGTGAGGCTGCAGAAGGTTCCCAGGCTGCCAAAGAGTCACATCCACTAACTGTGCTAAGAGACTTGACTCCTGCCTGCCTGGCCCCCTCAAGTCATGCACTACTTGGCTGCAGGGGTAGGAGGTGGGGTCTCTATGTGCCTAGAGCTCCTGAGACAGTAAAAGCTACAGGCTGCAGAGTGGCAGCGCCCTTCAAATACTACTAAACATTAGGGGGTGATGGTTGATCACTAAAACGAAGAGAGGAGACGGCTCTCTTCACTCTGATACTTGTTTCCTTTGCCATGCAGAAGCGTCTTCGTTTGATGCAATCCCACTTTCTCTTATTATATGAGCTATTGAAGCCCTATTCACAGTTATTGTCTATGTCTTCATCTTAAGTATTTCTCACATTTTCCTCAAAAATCCAGGTCTTACATTCAGATCTTCAGTCCATTTCGTTGGTGTTGACTTTGGTCTAGTTTCCTTTAAGTTACCACTGTTTTTAACAAACATCTGTGGAATACTTTCTTAGATGAGATCCTATGCTGGTAGTTGAAGTGACAAGAAGAGCCAGACACTAGTTTTATAATATGTGCCTTCTGGTTGGAGCATTGTGCCAGGTGAACAGGCCATCTGGCCCCAGGTGACCACTCTTGATTACTCTAGATCCAGCTACTAATGATAACTTACTTCTTTTCTTTTCTTTGGTTATTCTAAAGCTGTGCATTTCCACAGCATTGAGTAATACTTCCAGTTTAATTCTGAAACTTGTTAGTTTTTCTTCCCCTGCTGAGAAATGGTTTCCCAGGAAGATTCCAAGTGTTTCAAAGGCGTAATTTATACACAGAGCTTTGGAGTGCACATCAGCTGGTGGCTGATGGTTCCTCTTGCTTTGCTTTGCTTTTCAAACAATGGAAAGGGGCCAAGTCAGCATTTCAAAATAGCTGAAGCCTCAGGAAATGGAAATCAATTCAAATTAGCACAACTATTTACCAGAGTGATTTTTAAATCTTACAAATGTTGAAATATCTAAGGAAGGAAAGTAAATTATGAGGACATTGGATTCACTGTTAGTTTTTGGTTTCATGAGATGAGCTAGTTTAGGAAGAAGGGGTATTTGCAAGGTGCGTCATAAAAACAAGGGGAGAAGTGAAATGGGATCTCAGGGTACGACTGGGAAGCAGCAGAAAGGAAGAGAAAAACCGGCTGAAGTTGTGTGTGAAAGTGTGTGTGTGCATGCGTATCCACTGAGTATTTATTTTGTTTCTACATCCATGTGGAAAGATATGAATAACCTCAAAGATTGTCTTTTCAAAATGTGCCATTTCAAGAATATTCAAAATCAACCCACTCTTCAGTACTAACTGAAGCTCCCGAAAGAGAATCTCCTTGCTTCACCTTAAATTATATACACAAACTGGATTCAATGAATGTCAGCCAGAGTCAACTGCATTACATGTCATTATCATACCTTCCCAGAGTGTTATTCATATAACTAATCATTTAAAAAATATATATATATATATATCGAATGGTTGTTAGACCATATTGGGGAAAAAGCAGTGATTATATGGACTTTATTTGCATGCAGATGGGTTTTATCTCAAAGGGAAAAGATAGTTAATGTCTTACCCCAAAAAGTAAAGGAAAATAACTGAAGACCAGGGAAATGCAAATCAATTCAAATTAGCATAACTATTCACTACAATGATTTTTAAATCTTCTAAATATAAAGACTTCTAAGAATGCCAAGTGAATTATGGTGACAGTGGGTTCATTCATAGTTTCACCATGTGGTTTCAATGTTTGAAAATATGATTCAAATAATAAAAATTTACTATATCATAAGGTCTCTCTAAGATCCCATTCTCTAATCTTTTAAAATTTCATTAATTTTATTTGGTTTTTGTTTATGTAGTATGGAGGAATCGAACTCAGGGCCTCATGTGTGCTAGGCAAGCACTCCACCACTAAGCCACATCCCCAGCCCCCATTCTCTAATCTTAATCCATTCTCTCCTTTTTTATAATATTTACTGAATGTATTTTGCATTACATAGTGATCGACACTGAGAGACAACCTTGTCCTAGTCTTGAAGGGACTAAGTCACTTACACAATTTTCATGTTTATGAATAAAATTCAACAAGACATTTCCTAAGGTACAAAGACAAACATATGCATGGGAAATATGGGGCCAAGAGGCAAAAAATGCCATTAAACTCCAGGTCCAAGAAGGACTGGAAAGTTGATTTTTGTATTTCTCTATCTATCTATAGAAGATACTAGGAAGAATACAGTTCAAGCCCACATACACGGTGTACATTAGCAATGTCGGAAACTATTGCCTTGCATTTCATTTTGATGTTCTCTATCCTAACCTTAATAGGAAATGCCTTCTAACCTCTCTTATCTGTTTGGTAGATCCATACTGAGTGTGTGTTTAGTGCTCACTGATCTTCATAACTGTTATGAACTGTTCAGTACTTTACACTGAAGTTTGCTGCGGGCCCTATCTAGGGCTAACCTGTTCCAGAGAGCTCTCCTTCAGAAGCGTGTGTACATTCCAGAAAACTCTCCTTCAGAAGCATGTGTACATTCCAGAGAGCTCTCCTTCAGAAGCGTGTGTACATTCCAGAAAATTCTCCTTCAGAAGTGTGTGTACAGTATAGAGAGCTCTCCTTCAGAAGCGTGTGTACATTCCAGAGAGCTCTCCTTCAGAAGCGTGTGTGCAGTACAGAGAGCTCTCCTTCAGAAGCGTGTGTACATTCCAGAAAATTCTCCTTCAGAAGTGTGTGTACAGTATAGAGAGCTCTCCTTCAGAAGCGTGTGTGCATTCCAGAGAGCTCTCCTTCAGAAGTGGGTGTACATTACAGCTGCTCCCAAACATGAATCCTCCCAAAAAATAATTTTAAAAAAGAACTCCTCAAAACTGCCTGGGCAGTTCCTTACATTTCTTTTTTTTTTTTTTTTTTTCGGGTCCAGTCATGGGGCCTGAACTCTGGGCCTGGGCGCTGTCCCTCAGCTCTTCAGCTCAAGGCTAGCGCTCTACCACTTGAGCCACAGCACCACTTCCGGCTTTTTTCTTTTTGCTTATGTGGTGCTGAGGAATCGAACCCAGGGCCTCAGGCATGCAAGGCAAGCGCTCTACCACTGAGCCACCTTCCCAGCCCTCCTTACATTTCTTTTGCAGATTAACCAAACACAATATTTCATTGTTCCCAGACTGACACGAGTTTTTATTTAATTTTTCACACCACTTTTGTGAGCACACAGTGCTCACACTTAGTGCCTCAGAGTTGCTAAGCAGGCGCCCTACCATTTGAGCTATGCCTCCAGTCTCCCTTTGCTTTAGTTATTTTTTTTGATAGGGTCTCATGTTTTTACCTAGGACCAGCCTCAGACCATAATCCTCCTAGCTATTTGGCCTCCTGTATAGCTAGGATCATGGAGGTGTGCAACCATACTCAACTTATTGGTTGAAAAGGAACCCTCACTAACTTTTTGCCTGAGCAGGCATGAAACCAAGTGACTAGCTGTGCCAGTATGAAGAACAACGCTGTCACGACATGTTCTGTTGAACTGAGTTTCAGCTGATCACATAAATTCATTGTCCATAGAGCCCATTAAAAATGCATGACTAAACCAGGCATGATGGCAATACTTGTAATCCCAGAACGTGGGAGGCTGAAGAAGGAGGATCATGAGTTTGAAGCCAGCCTGGACTACATAGCAAAACTAGGTTTCAAAAACTATGACCAGGGCTGGGAAGGTGGCTCAGTGGTAGAGCGCTTGCCTTGCATGCATGAGGCCCTGGGTTCGATTCCTCAGCACCACATTAGCAGGAAAAAAAAAAAAGCTGGAAGTGGTGCTGTGGCTCAAGTGGTAGAGTGCTAGCCTTGATCTGAAGAGCTGAGGGACAGCGCCCAGGCCCAGAGTTCAGGCCCCATGACCGGACCCAAAACAAACAAACAAAAAAACTATGACCAAGCCAGGTGCTGGTGGCTCATGCCTATAATCCTAACTACTTATGAGATGGAGATCTAAAGGTTGTGTTTTGAAGCCAGCCCCAGAAGACAAATTTGAGAGATTCTTATCTCTAATTAACCAGTAAAAAGGTGGAAGGGGAGGTTTTGCTAAAGGGGTAGAGTGCCAGTTTTGAGCATAAAAAGCTTAACAAGAATGCAAAGTCCTGGTTCAAGCTCCAGTACATGCATGCATGCACATGCGCGCGCGCGCGCACACACACACACACACACACACACACACACACACACCTATGATCAGTATGTCAAATAGAAATCTCTTATATAAAGACTCAAGAAAAAAATACAGTCTTGCATCAGTGTCAAAACCTTACATGCATTTCTTTGCGCACATAGAATTTTATCTTTGGAAAATAAATTATAGCAGCCTTCCTGAGGTAAAATACACCTTACATAGATCACCATCCTCCTGATGAGACACACTGGGGCATTTACGCTGTGGTGAAGCCATCGCTGTCATCCAGCTCCCAAACTCTTCTCATCTTGCAAAAACGGAAACTCTATACCCATGAATAACTCCCTCTTCCCCCTTCCTCAGTGCCACGCAAGCACCATTCTACTTGCAGTTTGGGTGAATTTGTTAAAAATTTCTTGGAGATGTTTAAGTGGATCAAGGCAAACCAACTGAGACTTCAGACCAGCATACCTCTCTACCCATAAACCACTTGCAGGAGAATGCAAAAGATGGATGAGTAAAAGATTTCTCAAAGCTGGTTGCGAAGGCTGGTGAAAATGTTCTACCAAGTGTTATTGATGTGAAGTAATCTCCCTTGCAGCCTGTCCTCCTCTTTCCACTGTCCGCCTCATTTCTCCCCACGTGGTAGGTGGCCTTCGGAGCCTTCATCTCCTTTACCTTAAGAACTCCAATGATCCATAAGAGCCACCCAAATACCCAAATCCTATGAAATGCATCATTTTTTCTCCTTTGCTTTCTTCTTTTCTCCTCATCTTTGAGACTCTGACACTGCTGAAGAGCTTGGGCAGCATCAGGGCATCAGCCTCGAGTAGAGAGAAATCCTGCAAGAGGCTGAAGCTGGCTGATAACACAGGCCGGGTTTCAAGGTCACAACCCAGGAGTGAGCCCACATTCCTCTGGATGCCTGGATGCAGAGTTCAAAGGAAACATCTAGCACATTCTAATTCTAGCAAATCCCCAGGCCAAAGGTAGACTTTTCAGTAAATTAATAATCCCTGAGTGACATCTGATGAGTTCTTTCAAAGACATTTCCCTTCACCCTGCCCTGACCCCTGACCCACAGTTCATTCCTTGGAAGATGAATGGGGCCCAACCCGGCGACTCTCCCATTAAAACTTGGCCTCTCTGTCTAAGCAAAAACCTTGAAAACACCACATAATCAATTTGCACTTAGGCCTTTCTGCAAAAGTGGAATGTTTTGATGCTTTTAATTTTTTAATTATTGATTTTAGAGAAGTTTGATTTTACAGAAAGTTTACAAAATGAAGGTTCAGATGAAAACCAATAGTCATGAATACATTATGTGTTTATACAAATAAATCCCAAGTTTTACATATATATATATATATATACATACATACATAAATACATACATACTCGCATAGAGTGCCAGTACTAGGGCTTGAACTCACTCAGAGCCTGAACATTATCCCTTAGTTTTTTTTTTCTCTCAAGGCTGGTGCTCTACCATTTGAGTCACAACTCCACTTCTGGCTTTTTGCTGGCTAACTGGAGATAAGAGCCCCATAGACTTTCCTGCCTGGGCTGGCATCAAACCATGATCCTCAGATTTTACCCTTTTGAGTAGCTCGGATTATAGGCATGAGCCACAAGTGCACAGCCCCATTATATTTTTAATGTGTACTCCTTGCCCTAGCAATCTAGAGGATTAATCTTATTACGATTAATAGTAACTCAAAATAAACAGTGGTAAGTGTAAATACACACACAAAGCTTAGCTCTAGGGTTAAGTTATATCTTGTAAAAGAAGCCATTCTAAGCTGGCATTTAGAGAAAGACCTGAAATCTACTGAGTCCCTATCATGCGCTGCAAACACTACTAGCCCTTGGGCTTATCCTCAATTAGTGCAGCTGCCACAGGACTTTCTTTCTCAGTTTTGCAGATAAGTAACTTGTTCAA